CAGGAAAAGACAATGCCGGGCCTCTCACGGCGGGTTAAAAACTTAAAAGTTAATTTAATTGTCACTTTTAACGTTTAACTTTCTATTACATTAACTTGGCGTGTAACGGGTTTATATTGGGTTATATCGAGTTAAGTTAATTAAAAAAGATATTTTCGCATTAGATTTTAACACAATACATTTTGATTGTAAAAAAATATCGAGTAATAATAATAATAATAATAATAATAGTTTAATTTAGTAGTATTGAAGTTTACAGGATTGGGATACATGTATAAATATTGCACGGCATCGCTTGTCACTGAGGATAAAATCCTTGTATTGATAGACGAGAGTCTCTAAAATAAAAAAATAAAAGTTACATTAAAAAAAAAAAAAAAAAATGATAATAAAAATGTATGAAGAATGTAATAACAGAATTGACAATAATAAATACAAATATACATGATAATTTTATTTACAGTATTGATAAAATGAATTCCAATATTAGTTAGATATAATACATCTTTTTTTTTTGCCCTGATTATTTTGGGTATTTTTTTATGGGAGAGTTGCGGTATGAATGAATACTCCACTTTACATTGACGACCATTATTTTATTTGAACAAAAATATATACGATATAATAAAACTAGGTTTGATCAACTGTGAAAATAACAATTTTTCGTAAAAATAAACGCAAAAATGTTATCAACATAAATTAATAATAAGTTAACTAATTTTACATTTTATCTTAACTTGGTTAACACATGAAACAAATAACTTTTAACGTGTTAACTTCACAACTTTTTTCGGTTAACTCAACTATGTTGATATTATTCATTGAATAATTATACCCTGTAAATTATAATTACATTTCTCGAGTGTTTATAGGATTGTTTTTAGCAAATACGATTCTATATAAAGTCATGGTTTTTTACGTTATAATTTTAAGGTTATAATAGTCTGTTAACATTTTTGTGCAATCGACGCGCGGCTAATTCGATTACATCGATAAACACGGGTATGATTAAAAAAAAAAAAAAACAAACATAAACAAACATCGATTCGATTTTTTTTTGTTTTTTGTTTTTTTTTCTTTTGTAGAAACGTTTCCACCTCGTTGACTCCCGTAATTCGATATCGTGTTTTTCGGCTGCATCGTGTATAGAATTATGTTAATTTATAGGTTTACTAAAGAAAAAAACAAACAAAAAAAAAAAAAGGTGGTAGGTATATGAGTATATATACATAGGTAATAATATATAGTGTTGAGTTAAAATTCGATCTTAATCGTATAATATACCCAAATAATGTTCACCTTAATGCTTATGAACATTTACAAAAAAAAAAAAAAAAACACGTGTATACACATACACATATAATACTACTTATTGTATTATATTTTATAACCTAGCGTTTTTGTTTACCGTCGTAATATTTTTAATAGACTGCGCCTTAATTTATGCGGTTACACTCTGTAAGTTATTCGATTTTTCGAAAAATATTTCAAATATTTTAGACTCTCGAAAACGCAGTGAGGAATAAATTGGTTTTACTATGATGGGTGTGTGTGTGTGTTTTTTTTATTTTCTGCCCGTTAAAATATTTTCTACCGGAAATATTGCTCGGAATTTCATGCGTGTGGCCGTCTTTTCCGAAAGATAATTTTGCCTAGTCGGTGCTTTAGGATGTCGTTATCATTTTCTTAACAACTCGAAAAACCGTAGAAAAACTGGAAAGGTTTCCGGCAATAACGGTTTTATTATTTTCGATTTGATTTTTTTTGTTGTGTAATTCGGTTACAAATAATAACTCTTTTGAAGTTTTATATTTTTTGAAAATAACTATAAAAACATATTTTTTTTAATCGACTTTGAACGGTGGTATCTCAATGAATTTTGAGAAAAAAAAAAATTCTATATTTATTACTACTAGGTGTTTCTATTCAACGAAATTGCGTTGTATTGGACAATCACACCAAAAGGTTTAAACAATCGAAAATTATCCTAACATATGTATTTCAGCGTTCCCTACCTATTTCTGAAAATATAAATTTCAATCCGAGGTAATCAGTCAGAAATATGTCGTGTTACCAACAGAAGAAATCACACTGTATGTAGTTTATTCGTGCTCCTAATTTATATCGAGACTTTTGGTGATCTCATTACGTTCTCATTTAACACCTATGCTTCGACGCGTTAAGAAAGATTTCGCAAACATATCAGAGTCGGAACATAATATTAAACAGGAATTTTTAGGTCGACTGGGTGTGAAAGTAAACCGAGAAAGACAGAGGAGGCTATTAGAGGCTATTTTTATTTGTATTATAGTTTGTGGACAATTCATCGAGATTCCAGCAGTTCACTCTGTATGTCCGTTTTTGTTTCGATTTTTATCGAGTTTTAAGTTATACCTGATTTGACAACGAGGGAAAAACACGGCTTACGATATACTCCGCTCAGAATCGTTTATCGTTTGCAATGACTTATCGTTACACACTACACAATATGTTACCAAATAAATGACCCTGTACATCTTAATTTCCCAACTACCCGTTGGCCGTATTGATTTTGTTGCATTTCAATTTTGCTTAACTCATATAAATATAATAACGACGGTAACACGATACATTCGTATTTTGTTTAGACACAATTTTACAAAAGTTTTTTTTGATAATTATTTAAGTTTACGTAACGTGGTGAAATATTTCGACGGTATAATTGATTATAGTTTGTAAGACAAACCAAAATCCGATAACTCTTGAAAGTTAAAGTTTGTCTTTTCGTATAATATAGAAGAACAAAGAAAATATGTATCATTTTTTGGGAGACGTTGAAATTCACAAAATCGATTAAAAAGTTTCCCCGAATACTCGTTTATTATAATCTATCATTTCGTCGGTATAATTCATTTTATTCTCTTGTTGCATGGAAAAGTTTTACAAAAGTTTTAGCGTATAATACGAGTAAAATATATTATACGTTTCTTTATGATATATAGAGTGACGATAGTGCCAGTGGCAGCGGGATTACGAGACTTGGGTCTCGCGTGTTTAAAATATGCAACACGGGGACAAAAAATGTATAAAAACAGAAGACATAAAACATAAGGGAAATACGATTATTTTATTTATTTTACGGTTCTGAGCGCAGTTCAGAACGCATACAAGTATTGATTCGGTTACGATATGATGAGTGTTTTTTTTTTTTTTTTTTTTTTGTGTTGCTTATAGACGATTTTTATACCAGAAAACTTGCTCCGATCATCGGCTCTAGGGGTTGTCTTTGGTTGTCATTTTGAGGTTAGGTTATAATTATGCTATTATACCTACACTAATAGCAACGAAGAACCCGAAGAAAAATCATTATCGAAACTTAAATCCGTCAATTCGCAATTCTTATTGCAGCTATAGATTATTAATTATACAGTAAGTTGTGTTTATTAATGTCAATTTTAATGTCGACGACGGTCCGCCAGAAATTTGTTATTAAAGATTTAGGATCGGTTCAATTCAACGGTTAACAATGGACCGTCGTACAGGGACCGCCGTTCAAATCTATTGTGAAAAAGCCTGTACGCGTACATCTGTCTACGCGAAACACTTGCGGTGGCGTAACTGTAGAACTTCTAATGCCCGTGGCAAAATATCGTATTAAAAGCCTAAAGGCCGAACCGATAAGGAAAAAAAAGGTCTTTCAAAAGGGCCCCCGTCCGTCCAACAATACCTCGGGCCTTGGTCTAGGCCACTGCTCGGGCCCGGTCATCGGTCGCGCTCCCGTTCGCCCGCCCAGTATTTACGCCGCTGTACACGCGACGTCAACTATCAAGTTCCATACTCGATAGTTGACTAAAATATTACCGCGCTTGTCGATTACCGAACGCCCGGATTGCCGGCGTCCCCCCTTAACGGTTCTGCACGCACGCGGCGGTCTCTGACGAGCGAATCTCGCGTTATTATCGTGTTTTTCGGTCGTTTTCCGACCGTTCGGGGGCTGATGGTCCGGGGGGCCGCTGTAGCGGACGGAAAAGCGCGGCGGAATTTTCACGAGACGCGCGAAAATCCGGAAAGCCGGCGCCGGCGTGGGGGCAATGCCCGCGGGCGGGCGTGTCGGTTGTGTCGTCGTTGCATTGTCGCGGCGGCTGGGGACGCGCACGCGATGTTACGATACACCGATTTTATTGTGACGACAAAATATAATAATATTCCGACGTGCGCGGGGAAAGAAATCCGGCCGCGCCGGTCGCATATCGTACGCGCGTACCCATTACGCGTATCGTGAAAACGCGCGGTACACGCAGGACACGTTATTATTGTCGTCGCCGACGCCGGCCGCATTATCGGTATACGATACAACAACAACAATAATAATAATAATAATAATATTAATATTATTATACGCGCGCGTACGCATAAATCGGGAGCCGCCGCCGCCGTCGTGTAGTGTTTTTGTGTGTACGCGCGCGCGCGCGCGCGAGTATAATAATATCTGGCGAAAGGATCTGTGCCGACAGACTTGGCGGGTGGTCGGCGCGGAGACGGTCACTGCGGCGCCACCGCGAACCGACGACGACGACGACGACGACGAGCCGCACACGCACACACGTACGCCGGCGGTCACTGCGACGACGACGACGACGACGACGCGTACCCGCCGCACACTCCGCCGCCGCGGCTGTATAAATACGCGCGCGTATATCAAGCGCGTACGCGTGCGCGTGTGTGCGCGCGCGTGTGTACCGCCGCCGTAACCTTCCCGTCGCGCGGCCGGCGGCTCTCGCGAACGCACCATCCCACAAACAGCCTCGCGAACGCACGCGCGCGCGCCTCGGACGTTATTATTGTGCGCGTGTGTTTCTACGGTTTTGTTGTACCCCGGGAGACGGCGGCGGCGGCGGCGTATCGTATCGTATCGTGCGCAGTATACGTGTCGTTGGTATACGCGTCCCGCCCGGCGGTTTCACATTTTTATTTATATTTTTGTCGTACGCGTCGATACGCGCAACTCGCCGGATACGTACGCAGCGTACGCGCGCACGTACCGCGTGCGGTGTTGCTGTTAGTATTGCGATTATTACCCCTTTTGTTTCGTAGTATCGGCGCGCGCGCGTTCTCGCCGAAAAGGAGACGGCGACGTCGCCGCGGACGAAACGCGCGCGATTGTCCTCGGCGGCCCACGTTTTTTTTTCTTTTTTTTTTTTCTACGTACAGGCGCTCGTACTTTATTACACGGTCGCCGTGGCCATTATTACGTACACGGGTACGCGTATAGGGTACCCGCGGACGCGATGCGATACGTGCGCGTTCGCGTGTTTTTTCCGCGAGTGTCGGGCGGCGGACGCGCGCGCGCCATCTTGACCGCGTATCGTTAAAACAACAATGAAAAAAAAAAAAAAAACCTCGTACGGCTCGCGTACTATTGTGGCGCGATAAGTTTTGTTAGGCGCCTACGTCCGTTTGTTTCGCTTATTTTTTTCCCGCGTCCGCCAACGATAACCGTGTCTCGACGATTAACCCGGTCGTATTCTTTATCGGTTATTTTAATGGTTAAACACGATTTCGGTTAACGGCTACGGATTCGCGAACGTGGCATTGTGTTTTTGCGGGGTCGTTACAAATAATATCAATTGTTGATGATAAAAAAAAAAAAAAATGCCGACTAGATACCTATTGTCTAATCATTACTCATTATCAATAACCAAACGGCATGACCGTTCGTTTCGTTTGGTTACGACATTTCGGTATCCTACGACCAAAACGACCTGCTAACAAAACGCAATAACCGGGTTACATCGTTTGGTCGTTCGCCAAAACGCGCCTAATATTTGTACTCGCCGTTTCGACAGGACCTGAGACACACTCGGTCCGCGATCGTCTAGACTTCGGGCGGGGGCGGTAAGGGCTTATGACGGGGTATCGGATATCCCGCGCCAGGGCCGGTCGGTTAATCGGGTTTTTTTTCCTCGAAGGATTTCCCCTCACTTTGCTCGAACGGCAACAGGGTGGGAAACCCCGGTCGGCAAAAAAAACGAGAAGACTCGGTTATGGAGGTCCGGCGACGACACGTATTATAATCACCGAGTTCGTTTTAGAAGCGGCGCGCAGTACTCGAACTAACGTTTTAGCGATTTTTCCCCGGATAAAATCGTTTCCGTGTTATCTCGGCGTTGGTTTTCATAAACGTTCGAAGGTTGGATTATGACGTAAATCGTAAAAAAGAAAAAGATTCCCGACATTTAGTATACTGATCGAGATTTCTGTCAGCCTATATGTGAACTCGGTACATTTTCGTTTTTAGATTATGAGTTTAGCTAAGATGTATTGGTTTTACAAAGATGTTTATTTTTAATTTTTTTTTCGTGTGAACACTCTTTCTATCAGAAAGCTTACTTCGATTATCAAGTATGCCACAACTTTTTCTGAAAGGAAATGTTCTCTGGGTAGTAAAGAAATAATTTTTTGAAATTCTCATTTACATTCGAGATAATAATGAGGAAAGCCTGGTGTTTTAAAAGAGATTGAAAAATTAAAAAAAAGGTTGTTGTTGGCAACCGTTTTTAATTTATTTTTTGTTACTATTTAAATTTTTTTCAAACAAGCATTGTCGTCATGGAAACGCACATTGTCGTAATCGTTTTACCATAATATGGCATATTATATATTGTTGACAAAGCAACACTATCAACTGAATTCCGCTCAGAATCGTTTTTTCGTTAGCAATGGTTTATCTTAACTTACAGATATTCATTAAACTCCCGTCTGTATCCTACCTTCCCAGCTCCCCACCAAAAACAGTGGCTGTAGTACCCACGTGCGAAGTATGTATTACACACCTATGTAAAGCGATTTTTTTTTAGAATCCGAACCAAGCTGGATTGTTTTGAGAGCTCCTGCATATACCGGCAAACTCTCGCTATGTCCTACCCTGGAATCGTATCACTTATACCCAATTGTTATCATTTGGGTATACTTTTTAACTTGATTATAAGTTCTCAACTCGTAAACGTCATGCTATACGTCTATACGTACACCTATGAACGTATAGAATAATTTATCTAGATAAATGTAATTTAGATAACGTGGAAATATTATGTTTCCAGATAAGATGAAATGCGATTAAACATTTAGGTGTCAACACTGACTGCTGACTGTATATATTCGGTGACGGTACCTTTACATTATGATAAATATTATTGCAGTTATCTCGACGTAGCGTTCAATGACAATGTTATTTCGAACGTCTAAATTATCCCGGTCGTTACAGCCACCGAAAATCATCGTGTCATCGTGTAACCCTATAAGTATCGTTATTATCATCTGTGTACACGCACAAACGCGTAATATTTGATTGTAATACACGTACGTAAATTGCCTATTTATTCATAATGAAATGGGTTTCATAACAAAATAAAAAAAAAAAATTTCGTTTTATACATGTAGGACGGGTATCAGGTATTCGCCTCCGAAATTGATAACCACCCGTACAATATACCTTCACGGTTATAATATTATATTTTATAACATTATAACGTCGCGTCGTGTAGGTATACTCGTGTGTGAGAGGTACCGAAAAAAAAAAAAAAAAACATGTCTATTAACGACCGGTCGAAAAACGGCCGTAAAAAAATCTTATCGTTTATTATACGGTTTCCCCTCCGAATATCTGTTGCCGCCGCTGCTTACATAAAAAACGATGTCAATTAAATCATGCCCGCGGCTACTCGCATGTCGTTTTGATAGTATTCGTAATAATGTTTATTATTACGATTATTTTAACTCTACGTATTTTTTTTTTGTTTTTTTTTTTTTTTTTTTCATAATAATTATGTGAATATTTTTCAAAAGACAAATAAAATGCGTTATTCTCGTTCGCTTCTTTGCGGGTGTGTGTGTGTGTGTGTGTGTGTGTGTGTATGTTTTCTCGTATTATATTATTATCAGATCGAAAAATGTACACAGAAATGTATTATACGTATATTTTTAATGTACTACACAAAGAAAATATTTGAATATCGTCCCGTCATACGTATATTGGTCCCGTGCAGGTATACGGAAAATTATACGAAAAAGAAATAGGTACGCGTGTGTATCGCCGGGATCGCATTGTCAAAAAGGCAGGTAGTTTATTTAAACACAAATTTCGGCGAGACCAGTAACATAATGTTGTTATTATACTCGACGGGAACACAATATACGCACGCACGCCGTAACATACCCATTTGGCTGTATTATTACATGTCGCAGGTTTTTTACATTTCAGATCGCGAGCGGAGCGAGGAACGTATTGGTTTTATTCAATTTCGGCGAACAACTTTTCCGCCAGAAATTTCGTCCCGATTTTTAAGCGGAGCACTTTTTTTCTGAAAGGAAATCCGACTGGGGCGGTACTTCGTGGTACTATGTCGATTTAGCTTAAAATACGTTCGAAGCTTTAAAATTCGGAGAATAATTATTCGTGTTCGCCTTTTTTAAACGTGGTTAAATTTTCAAATTATTCGAGCCGTATTCGAGCTATTCGTAGACGTTTTAATTTTGTTAGGTTTCGCGTAATTTTTATTTGATAGGTGAGTAGGTTAGGTTAGGTTAGGTACCTATTGGATACTTAACCTATATTAACTTTGTGGACAAAATTATCGGACCAAACAGAAATGCTTAAAAATGTAATAAGATGTTCGCATGATAAGAACAAAAGATTAGGTGTAATGTAAAAATTTGTTTATAGGAATTTACATTTTGACGAAAATCGTAAATATTACGGCCTTTTAAAATATGTATAACCGAAATCCGAACAGAATAATTTTTTGTTGACAATGATTACTCGTTGCGTACAGATATACATTCAATTTCTCCTGTATCTTTAAAACTTCTCACCTACAGCAGTGACTCATTCATTGTGCGAAGTATGTTCATTTTTTTTTTTTATTTGATATGTCTGTAAGCAAGCATTTTCTACCAGTGACTCGGGATTTTCGAATGTACCATTTTTGCTGGTAGGGAATTTTATTTAGTTAATGCATTGCGGATGGTATTTTCGATTTTATAATAATTGGGAAAAACAGGGATAGTTTACGCCAATAAATATTCCATTATATTAGATTTGGACTTTATTGTTGTGATTCGGTTAAAAGTATCTAATCCTACAGAATTGAAATTTTCACAAAAAAAAAAAAAAAAAATACTTATATAAGTCTTTTCTAGACGCGGTAAAATTTTCTGGTAAAACTACTAAAGCTGTAGATTTGTTTAGCGGATAGACATATATACACACGTACAGACAGAATTTATTAGAATTTCAATTATACATATTATAATATATAAACACCCATTATATGAGATTCTATGCTTTTCAACTTTATTGCACTTGCAACAGTGACATATGGCGCCGTGCGTCATTTTTCAACGCAGTATACATTTTTTTTTTTTTTATATAATTATACGTGTAAAAAAAAAAAAAATATAATATGTTCCTGTAATTCGCACATGATAAAATATTGCCATAATAATGACGCACGAACCACTATTTTTCTTTATCCTAAACGGTATAATTATAATGTGTATTGTTGTTTGTTTATTTGAATAGTTGGTAATATGCGTAAAAAAAAATAAATAAAAATATTCGTATAACGAATAGATACGTCTATCGGCCCGGTTACAGAATTATCTCTATCTCCGTTTCGCTAGAAAAAAAAAAAAAAAATATAAAAAAACCTGCCCACACAGTACTTGTATCGTATTATTATAACGCTAACAAGAGACTGCAGCTACTGACGGCTTGTTTGCGTAAGTACTCGTACACGGTTATAAATAATTACAAGTGTAGGTATATTATGCTATTATCATATCACATTATGAAGCGTAATGGTTTTATAATACTTCGTCGATGAGATGAATTGGTATAGTATGGGTATAATAATATAATACATGGGCACCTGCGTATTATAAATAATTATCGCATGCGAAGAGTACACATTGTTGGCGTTGGGTACGCGCGCGCTCGGAGGTCGATCATCGACGGGTGATAAAGAACGAGTGCGAGTGCGAGAGCGAGAGAGAGAGAGACGAAATTGACATGCTAATATTATTATTATTATTATTATTATTGTTATTATTGTTGTACCGAGATATTATGTAGTCGTACTTACAGGTATATTTTGACCGTAAACCGGGTAATATTTTACATTATAATGACGGTGTGCGCATCTATATAAACCGCGTGGCTTGATAAACACTGCCGCACGTTAACTGGCGCGGTGGTTATCAATTTCAATTATTTTTCAAACGGTTATTTAAAAAAAAAAATATATATCGTATTCTGTATGAAAAGAATACAACGAGAAAAAAAAAAAAAAAAAA